TTTACGGAGGAAACTTGCTCAAGAATATGGCCGTGCAGTTTGTATTGGTAGTGTAGAGGAGTACAACTTCTAGAGATTGATAGTGTCTGGCACTTGGCAGGGTGAAATTCCATGTCCCAGCTCATCTCCCAATCAGCTAACAGATTGAGATCCTGTTGTAGCTGGTCCTGGTCAGATCTGTTGGCGATCGTCCTATACACTGCTGTGTCATCTGCAAACAGTCTTGCCTGTGATGTCAGTTTCTCCGGTAGGTCATTAATGTATGCTTTGATATTGTATGCTTGTAATTAGTTTTCGTAGTGTTGCGTTTGTTTTAAATGTGGTGAATTATAGATATTTTTTGTTGACTTTGTACCGCGCTTCGAGCCTTTGGGGATGAAGCGTGTTTTTGAAATGAACTTTATTATTATTATTATTATTATCCATATTCAAATACCGAAGGGTACTGAACTCATAATATCCATTCTGCTGGGGCCGGGGGCCCCATTTCATTTGTCCGTATTTTAGCTTTATAAATATCAATAGGCTTAGACAACGCTATAGGTTCTATGCGAATTCATGGATCTATGCCTAGCTTGGTAGCCATACCCGTCATTGTCCGTGTTAAAATATTGGTGGATTTAAAACTAAGAATATCCAATCTAGAATTATCCAGAAAGTTCGATAATTTTAAAAAGCTAGGCTATGGCATTTTAAAACCGATTTTAATGGGACACATTTTAAATTTTAACTCTTTAATTTATTTGTCTGTTTTTTTATAGCCCCCCCCCCCTATCTCAGGCATAACTAAATGGATTGCGGTGGTGAATGATGGGGAAAGAAGAACATGTGATTAAACAAAACAACAGCCCCACCCCTTCGCTTACACTAACCATCGGTCGTCACTGTAGGATTCTGGGATGGGATTTTGGAAAAGAGGGGGGTGGGGGCATTTTGGCAATTAGGCTCTAACCAACGGACGGCAAGCAGTCTATAAATTTTACTTTGAAGTTTTGTGCCTGGGTAAAGAGATAAGCCAACAGACTAAACTCTATAGATCTAGTCTACTAAGTCAACAGACTACATATCTAGTCTATTTTGAAAGAAGTCGTTGTTTAAAAAAATATACTTTTGTCTTTTTGTGGATTATGACAGCTTTTAATTTGCATACGAAAAAAAAAGAAAATAATCTAAAAGAACAAAATATATATATATACCGGTAATAATAATAAAGTTGATTTCAAAAACACGCTTGATCCCCAAAGGCTCGAAGCGCGGTACAAAGTCAACAAAAAACAAATCTATAATTTACCACATTTAAAACAAACGCAACACTCCAAAAACTAATAAAAGTCTTTCCTTCGAAGACTAAACGTATTTTTTTTTTTTTTAAATGGAAAATAATTTTCATGACGCAAAGAAAGTCTGTGCTGTGCAGATTTTTTTTCTTCAAAATTAGAAGGAAAAAAAACAGAACAAAAACATTTAAGTTTGTTCAGTTAATTGGAATACTTTGGCTTTTTAGGATGCATTACCACCCTTCTGTACATATTCTCTTGACTTTGCGACATGAATTTTGAGAAAATTATTTTCGACCATATGTGTTAAAACTCGTTTTCGAAGGAAGTATTTCTTCTTGTTATTATACAATTATTTTGTACGTATCCACGATTTACATAAACAGGCCAAAGCCAAAGGTCAAAGTTTGTAAGTCTAATGTTAAAGAAAGGGAAACAAATCCTATTGCCAGACACATATAAGGCTGCAGTATTAAAAACAATGAGTGGTGCAAGGTCTGGTTGTCTAAAAAGCAGTATTACATTCAGTGGCGTAGCGAGGGTGTTTGGCGCCCGGGGACAAGATGCGCGCCCGGTGACAAGTTCCAATTTTAAAGCGCCCCCCCTTTTTTTTTTCAACTCTCAAACCCATTATTTTCATCAATAAAATAATATCAAAGCACATTTTGGCGCCACTAACTAGCTGGCGCCCGGGGACATCTGTCGCCCCCCTGCCCCCACCACGCTACGCCTCTGATTAAATTATTATTTTATATAATCTTTCTGAGTGTTAGAGAAAATCACAATTCTCTTCCATTATTTTCCATAGGGCGAAAATTGCCTATTTTCACCCAATCCAAAAATGTCTAGCGCCTGCCCTGCGTACCACCTATCCTACTTTTCCAGCTGTTCAGAAGATTGGTCAATTCTGAAATCATTTTTGTTTTGTTTTTAGCTGGACACTTTGACATCCTTTGCGTAACCTTTCGCATGGTCTGCAAGCTTTAACACTAATGTAGGATTTTTATCATAATTTTTTTTTATTATCCGTGGAAATTTGTTGAGCACATCTTGGAAAATCGGACAGATGTGAGTGGCAGGCGGGCAGCCCTGCATTGTATCCATATGCATGAAACAGTTGTGAGTATCGTCCGTAAGTTGTAGAGAATCTGTCTGTGCTGTTGTCATCATTAATCGCCGCGTGTCACGTGTGTGTGTCACTTGCTTGACACAAGTTATACGAGGAGTCAGTGACACCTTAAGGCTAGGGCTTAATTCTCTCAGTCAATGAGAGTCTCCGGGTTTGTTTGCAGTGGCTTTAACTTTAAACCTTACTCTAATAAGGTTAGAACGTAACAATATCAATAATTGTACTTAGTCGCCGACGCCGTTTGTATCACTACAGCCCGGGAGGGGAAGGGGGGGGGGATATTGGGAATAGGTTTCCCCGGGTGACAGACTAGTTGGCGGGGGGGGGGATCACAATGAGCTTTGATGACACTTCTATCGAAGCAAAAAATGGGTTTCAGAGATGTGTGGCACGTAGAAATGAATCTTGTCCCCAGGGTCCAAACATTGACATCTCAACATACCCCTCTGTCTCTGTTATCGGTGGCTTAAGTAGAGGGGGTGGGGGATTAGAGGGGCCACCCCGGGTGTCACTTGAATTTATTTTGAAATAAAGAAAACATTTCACTACAAAACCATCTCTTATTAATCAATTTTAACGTAAGTTTAATGCATTCCAATATAGAAAACAGAGCACTTTATAAAACAATTAACACTTTGTTGACCTCCATTGTGGTAAGGCCAACAAATCACATCCGATAAAAAAAAAAAAAAAAACACATAATTTTTGACAACTCTACACTTACACTGCTTAACACCCAAGCAGTTCTCCTTTATTTCCTGATATGGATAACGGAACTTCAACTTCAGCATTAAGTTAGACCTGACCATTATTACTAATTGTTTTTTTTTTTTAATTTATAATTTGTGAAAGGTGATGAAATGAACTTTGTTATTTGATTGTTTTCTCAAAGTGATAGCACCAGTAACTGTTAAAGGGAAAGGAGTGCCGAGCAGTCAGCAACGCCGGCGGCCTCAGGTAAACTTTCGCCCTGTGCGAAGCACCCGTTCGGCGCCCCTTCAATCTCCCCGTATGGCTCTGCTCTATTCCCGAATACGACTTAGGCTATGGAGCACGTGCTATGATGCCATACATCAGTTGTTCTCAGCCTTCCTAATGCTGCGACCCTTTAATACATTTGCTCATGTTGTGGCGACCCCCAACCACAAAATTATTGTCTTTACTACTTTATAACTGCAAAGTATACTTGTTTTCCGATGGTCTTAGGCAACCCCTGGGAAAGGGTCGTTCGACCCCCAAAGGGGTCGTGACCCACAGGTTGAGAACCACTGCCATTACATGTAGCTAAACATACGCATTTTAACATGCCCATTAATTTAGACTTTTTAGCTTTTCTACGGTATTTTGTTCCATTTCCACATCACCTTTGGGGTAGTCCATAATTGCCCCCCCCCCTTTTTTTGAGATAGGAACTATCGGCACGTTTTTGTTAAAGGAGTATCCCCAGGCGCCCCTATGGCCACGGCGCCCTGTGCGAGGGCACATGTCGCATACCCTAAAAGCCGGGGCTGGAGCCAGTCAGTGGCGTAACTAGGGTTAGTGGCTCCAGGGTTAGGCCAACCATTTTGCCACCCCCTTTCCACGAGAAAACTCATCAATTTTACAACGAACTAACAAACTATTTTTGGATACGCCTTAATTGTTATGCACGCTGCTCAGCCATTTCTAGCCTTTAGATAGGCCTGTAGCCTATATTACTAATCCATTCCCTATTTTCATTCTATAAAATTATTTATATTTTATATAAAACTTGTTGGCCTCTGCTAACAATGAGACATCTTCACTGTAGCAAGAATAGCTGTTGTGAGTTACAATTATTTGTTTTTTAATAATTTTTATGATTTTCATCGTAGCCTACAGGTAAATCAGAGCGTTTAAATTAAAATAGTGGAGTGTACGCTAAATTAATACAATAAAAATGCAAAAAAATTAAATGCCAAATCAGTTAGTATTCAGTGCATTTCAGTTCCAGCAGTAGAGAAAAATGAAATGTCATTGTATCAAAGTATGAATGATAGTGTAACTTGTCTTGTAACAGTTTCGCTGTAGAGCATCCGTCGTGTACCTTTGTCATTAATAATTTGTGTCACTTGTCACTTGTGTTTAAGAACACGTTCTATTGGTATTATTAGGTCTAGGAGTTTTTGATAACACAAGACACAAGGCTTTGTATTCGCAATGAGTGCATTGAGGTTTGTTTGTTATATTGCCGTCTTACTATTAATATTAATTTTAAAATAAGTTATTCAGTAGATTTGATATATCAAAGATATGGATTGATTATCTGATTTTATCGAATTCAAATCATTAATAATTATATAAATTTAGTTATTATTTATTTAACTTTAAAATTTTAATTGTCTTTCAAACTACTTGAAACTTTGGCCTAGACTAGGTTACAGTTACTAACTAGTTACTTTATTACAAAATTAAGTATTTAAATTAATTTAATAATGCTATAATTATAATTTAATTTAAATGATAGAAAAATGATTAGTTCTAATTCTAATAAAATAATAGTATGATATTATATGTAAATGAAGTAAAATAGTCTATTTAAAAACTATTTGAATTTTGTGTAGTGATTGTCATAGTCATAACTTACTTAAAATTAAAAACTACCATGCCATCAGAGTATTATCCTGCCTTACTTTATTAAAGTTTATTTTAGGCAGCTACTTTACAACAGTACTACAAGTGCTAGTACTAGTAATAATAACAACTAAAATTTCTCTCAGATTTTTAACTTAAAAAACAGTGTTTCTTTCAGTTTCAGAGCATCTTTTTTTCTTCTGTAAAATATGATAAAATATTTTTATTAAAAAAAAAATTATAAAAGAGTAGTACTCCTCCGAATGCCAGTCCCACATTCATAACACTAGTAAAATACATTGAATGAGCAGTTACTTTTGCATTCAAATAATTTTTACCAAGGACATGGACATGTCAAATATGATAGGCCAAATTGTCAGTCAACAGCTTAAAGTACTGTCCGAAAACATGTTCTTTGTGGCTAAAGCGTGACTGGAAAGCATACATTACAAGTAGTTTGATAACTCAATTTCTGCTTGGCCTACTGAACTTGAAACCAATTGTCAATTGTGATGCACAATGCAGAAAAAAGTTTTTGAAGTTTACAAAGGTGACCCAACTTTCCATGCTTTTGAAAAGCATAACATGCTTGCATGTCACTTTGTAAACCCTATTGACTATAGAATATCATCATGGCTATTTTCTGTGAACTAAGCCCACAGTTTGCAAAAAATTACCTGGTGCGTAAAAGGCCATCTCATACTGCACCGATGGCATTTCCATGAGCAAACATCAGATGACTCAGCATGTCAGACTAAAGACATGGGATATTGACAGTTAGGCAGTTATTACTGTTTTGTATTAGATGGTGTTCAGCGAGCCACACTAACCAAAGCATGCTGTCATTCAGTGCCTTCAGTTTGTCGTAAGTTTTCATAATTAGGCTAGTAGCATGGCACTTTCTAACAAAAAGTAAACTATTTGACATTTGGGACTGGCGTTCGAAGGAATGCCCTTTTTATACCTATTAAAATTAGTGAAATGGTGGAACTAATGAAATATCAGTAGGCTCGATATATATAAATAGATATATATAGATAGATATATATATAGATATATATATATATAGATATGTGGGGGGGGGGGAGGCATCCTTCAATGATGTCACCCTATTTGGGATACCCATCATCACAAATTCGTTAAACAATTTAGACGCCCTCATTATTTTTGCCACAAAATCATGACTACCCCTTCCCCCCTTGATGCATGACATCATTTGTGGATGTTTCGTACCCATAGAGTTACAGCAAATTTAGATACATTGTTAAAATTTATGTCATGGGCCCCACAAATCAATTTTTTTTTCCAGTGCAGCTGTTAGCTTAATGAACTCCCCCCCCCACAAATAGTCTGAAAGAAACACTGCAGTAATGCAAACTGAATGTAGTTTAAAGGTCTATAATACTAGTTTATATTGTATAATTAAGGCTACCAGTACTTATTAATTAGATTTATAGTAATTATTAGAGCAAAGTTGAGTGGAATCAATGACCATGCCATTGAACATCTATTTTTACAAACTTTAAAAATGAAGCAATTTTTTTAGCTTAAAAAAATGTAACAGGTTTTACATCTTATTACACAAAACATAATATGTGTAACAATGAGTTCAATAACTGTAACAAAATTATAAATAGAAGGGGAAGTAATCTCTTGGTGGGTACAAAGTCCAATTTCTCATTACACATACCTTACATGACAAAGCAAAAAAATAACCACATTTTAAAGTTTAATAGATACAAGTTACACAAGGGACCAATTTAAGAAATGATGTAAAAAAACAATAACTTCCTTTGTAATTATCATTATTGAAAATGAAAGCCTGTTTTTATTTTGATGTATATTAATTGGTTGATAAACTGAGATTTCCCATTTTTAAAAGAACAATTTTCATGGGGAAACATTTTACATGGCTTTTATATGTTAATGTTATTGTTATGAGAAGATTTTCTTGGTGATGTGGTGACCAGACATATGCGCACAAGACAATTGCGCACACGACAAACGCGCACAGACAATCCCGCAATGACACAAATGCGCACAGGACAAACGCGAACACCGATAGTTGCGCACACGGACAATGGCGCACACAGACAAATGCGGACACCGACAATCCCGCACAGTGACAAATGCGAACGGCTATATAAGCGCACACCGACAAATGCGCAAATAGCAAGTTATGCATCGCCAATTTAAAGATGATAATGGATTTAGTCTTAGTTGGTTTTCAGCCAAAATACATCATGTTTAAAGCTAACAATATATTAATAATCATAATAAATGTAATAATAATTGTATGCATATTTTAAAAAAAATTAACTTTTAAATGTATAGACTAATAGTATAGTAATAAAATGTTCGTTCTAGTAGTACTGCTACGTCATGATTTTTAACAGATGTCATTTAAAAAAATTTAATTGGATATTTAAGTCTTAATCAGCATGTTAAATCATCGTAGTATGATGGAAGCTCGTAAAATGATTATTAAACAAATAACAGCAGTACTACTACTTAAGCATATAGTTGAAAATAAGACGTATACTTATACATTATACTAAAAATAATTGTGTTTTTTTTTTAATAAAAGAAAGAGGAATATTAGTCTTAAAATAAGAGTTGGCATTGCACGTTTCTAAAGGCAAAGTACGTTTTAAAACATGCATTCATGCAACCGATTTGAAAAATTTTTATTAGTGATTAACACGTAGTTTTATTCCGACCCCTCTTTCAACCCGCAGATTTATTAGGTACATAATCTTGGTTATTTATAGTGTAGAAGGAAGTCCTAATTGAATGATGAAATTACTGTTGATATTTTATTACACATAACTTTGCAATTAGGATTTAAACTACCATTAGAACAATACGCAAACTTAAAATGAAAGGTTATTACTACTCTATATATTATTATAATTTCCAGCAATATTCTTTCAGTTAAAATTATTTTTTTTATACCTGTTGCTATTAAGTAAGCTCTAGTGCTTCCTCATTAATTCTGTAATAGTTAAGTATTAGTATAGTAGACTCTAGACAAACACATATGTTTGGGGGGGGGGGGATGATTTTTAAGGACTCTTTGCCAATAAGTCAATTAAATGACAATGTGAAGAGTTTGTAGCACTAGATTTAAAATTTAATAGCTTTTTATTTGTTATTGAATACTTCTCAAATGTTCAGATGAAAAGTATTTTTTTAAAATAACTCAATATATTTTTAAGTGACTTGCTTTATGGAAAGTGTGAAAATGAAAGGCAGTATTTTCATTAAACATTGTGACGAAAGTTTACAAATAGTTTTGATATTTTAGTGTATCTCCCTAGCCATAATGGCTATAATAATTACATGTACTACCATACTGAATCATATCTGTCAGTAGTTTAAATGGCCAAAGAAAGTGTATATCTAAGTTAGTTTTTTTTTGGTCAATCAAAGAGTTATTAAGTAGTGAACCTGTCAAATTGTCGTGTGTAACAAGATTTAATAATAATTTCATATGTGTATGCCTCATGTATACATTTCTTTATTTTTTCTCTTTTAAAAATTCAAATTTTTTAGAAACATTTAACTGTTATGTGTTTTATTTTGAAAAGTTTAAATGTACATGTAATTTACATTTTAAAGATAATTCAACCATTTTTCTTTCTTTTCATTACAATTTTGAAACTATCTTCTTCTTCTTATCTGTTTCAGACGCTCCTTCTATACAGAAGATTATTGCGTCCTACGCTTATCTATGGTTTGTGTTTAGTCCTGCATTCTTTTTAGAGTTTTAAATGTTGATAAAGTGTTGGCTTTCCTGGTTTCTTCAGGCAACCCATTCCACGCCCGAATTCCGGACGGAAGAACGAAAATTTGTATGAGTTTGTTCTAATAAAAATTTTTCAAATCGGTTGCATGAATGCATGTTTTAAAACTTACTTTGCCTTTAGAAACGTGCAATGCCAACTCTTATTTTAAGACTAATATTCCTCTTTCTTTTATTAAAAAAAAACACAATTATTTTTAGTATAATGTATAAGTATACGTCTTATTTTCAACTATATGCTTAAGTAGTAGTACTGCTGTTATTTGTTTAATAATCATTTTACGAGCTTCCATCATACTACGATGGTTTAACATGCTGATTAAGACTTAAATATCCAATTAAATTTTTTTAAATGACATCTGTTAAAAATCATGACGTAGCAGTACTACTAGAACGAACATTTTATTACTATACTATTAGTCTATACATTTAAAAGTTAATTTTTTTTAAAATATGCATACAATTATTATTACATTTATTATGATTATTAATATATTGTTAGCTTTAAACATGATGTATTTTGGCTGAAAACCAACTAAGACTAAATCCATTATCATCTTTAAATTGGCGATGCATAACTTGCTATTTGCGCATTTGTCGGTGTGCGCTTATATAGCCGTTCGCATTTGTCACTGTGCGGGATTGTCGGTGTCCGCATTTGTCTGTGTGCGCCATTGTCCGTGTGCGCAACTATCGGTGTTCGCGTTTGTCCTGTGCGCATTTGTGTCATTGCGGGATTGTCTGTGCGCGTTTGTCGTGTGCGCAATTGTCTTGTGCGCGTTTGTCACGGAACCGATTTTCTTATGTAAAATTCTTATACTGGTTATAAATTGTGGTAACATTCTTATAATTTAAGTTATCTTTTTCTTGCTCTTTAACCAGAACAAAAGCAGCTGCATCTGTGTGGAGAAATGCAAATTTGGGTCATTGGAATGTGACCAATGTCACTGTGACTAACTCCCCATTTTGGTGTTCCAAATTCACCATACCTGGGTTGACACATGAAAGTTTTGATAGAGATGGTAAAGTATTCGTCTATTAAGTTTAACCACAAACCATATGATATCACTGTTATTGTTTAAATGTATTTCACTACATGAAGCAGTGATACATACATATACATATATATATAGCTTTTGTGTATGCATATACATTTTTATGTTATTAATCAATATGTATATACAAGTTAAAGTACTAAATGTCATAATATTATTTAAAGTTTATTAAAACTGTTTTTTTTTCTCCATTGCACCTTCCAGGGAATGTCAAAATGACGAGCATCATGCTGACATCTGTCATTGCTAGGCAGTTTGTTCTGCACAAACCCTTCAATGACTCTGGCAGTATTTTCCTAGACTGGCCTGCATTAACAGAAGACAGATTCACTTTTGTTTCTTCAACTCAGTTCAAAATGTCTAAAGCTTTGTATGGTTCCGAAGTCCCAAAGTGGCCACTGGATGTAGAATTCATCCTTGGCTTTGTTGGGAACTCTTCAATGGCGGGTGTTACAAACTTCTACAACGTTGGTGAAACCTCTGAGCCGCTGTGGACGCAAATCAATCAGCTTGTTTCCATTGACAAAGTCACAAGAAAGCCAACCCCGCTGCCTGATTGGTTTAAAGACAAGTATAAAGGAAAGGGCTGCATGGACCAAGGCCTTATCATTAAGCCATTCAACAGACCGTCATTGACCTACAGTATGCCAGTTGTGGTAAGATTTTTCCATCTTGTAATTAATTTCCCTGGAATTAAAATAGAAACAATGACCCTTTTTTAAAATTTTGGTGCTTCCAGACCTGTTTACTCTTACGATTTAAGCGTACAATGTAAGATTTTGCGGTGTATACAATATATGTACTGTATTTTTATTTTTTTACTATATAGATAAGGTATTGAACAATTTTGTGATGATATTGTACAATTATAAGAGTTTGAGGGTAAACAGTTCTGTGCTTGCTACCGATGCTGAACACTAACATTTCAAAAAAATGTTGTAAAATTCTTGCAGGTCAGATGGTCAGACACAGATAACTATAACCATACCAACTTTGCATCCTACGTACACTGGGCCATTAACGCCATCCATGCTGCCATCAGAGAAGAGGAAAAAGCCAAGGGTCTGAAATCAACAGTTAGCGCAGACCAACTGCCTAGCAGTGCCCTCAACGGCATAAACAAAGACATAGTTTCCAATGGCCTGAAAGATGTCCAGATCTGTTATCTCAATGAGAGCCTGGAGGGACAAGCTCTAAATGTACATGTCTGGCAACAGGACAATCTGGAGCATAAAGTTTTTACATCCATCGAGAGAGGGGAAGATGATATATGCCAGCTTCAGTTTGAGTACTTCAGTTCTTCAACAGATGAAGAATCTGCAGCTACAAATAACAAAATTTGAATCCGTATGGACACTGCTAGCTATTTATTTTAGATATTTTAGGAGCCTCACATGTACATACAAAATGGAGAAGGAGATGCCTTGCTCTTATGTTTATATTGAATAACTTTTTTGTTGTATCATAAAACATAAGCTCTCAAATTATTTATTGGATGTACTTAGGTTGTTACTAAGATAGGATCTTTAGTAAACTAAAAATAGAACCGTGGTACTCTATCATCCTGGAATACCATGTAAGAATCTAATCATCATGAAATTGGCTGGTTTATCAGTATTTGCTCTCAGAGAGACCACTTAAAGAATTTTTTTTTTTCTCTTGCAGTGAAGAAAGCGATTGAAGTAATTTAATTTAATATCATCTATATTTGGCTGTCCTCCAGATACAATAAGTTACATGGATTATTGAGATTAAAGAAATTTTCACTGTAAAAAAATAACACAATTAGAAATTTAAAGCTCCTAAAGCCATTATTTTTAACTGCTGAATATTAATAAGTACTCACTGGATTTGAATTCACAATTTAAATTTATTTTAACTGAAACCGGTGCATGAAGAATTGATTATATTGAACATAATGATTTTATAATAATTTTTTTTGAACTGTTTTTTTCATTTTGTAGAGGTTAGTAAAAATATTTCAAGGGACCGAAACGTTTTTTAAAATCTGTTGAAGAATGCCTGGGATATTGTTACATGTCAGCAACCTTGATATAGTAACATGTCAGCAACCTTGATATTGTCACATGTCAGCAACCTTGATATTGTCACATGTCAGCAACCTTGATAATGTCACATGATAGCAACCTTGATATTGTCACATGTGAGCAACCTTGATAGTGTCACATGTCAGCAACCTTGATATTGTCAGATGTCAGCTACCTGTGATGGTGTCATGTCAGCTACCTGATAGTGTCGTTTTTCAACAACCTGTACATTAATATCATTATGTAGGGAACCTGTGACGGTGTCACACATCAGCAACCTGTGATATTGTCACCTGTCATACATATCAAGTTAGGCCGCTGTTTTTTAATAGGCTTGCTTTTCTCTGCTTATTTGTTTTGATCTGTGTTGAACTAACTTCCATTGTTTGGTCTGAGTACCAGTATCTGCCAGGTTGCCAACAAAAGCTAAATCTGTTTTACCAAGAACATGAAGCATCGAGCCAGTGAGAATACTCTCACCACTGCTGACTATTTATGTCTTGCATGAATGATCAATTGTTAAAATACGCAAAGAAATTGATTTTTGATCAATGAAAAAATTTTTTTTTAAAAATTGTTTAAGATTATATCTTGTATAATAAAGGACATTAATTAAAAATAAGGCAGAAAAAATAATTGATTTTATTTTTAACTACACCTTTTTGTTTAAGTACAATATATGGTAATAATCATTTAATATTTAAATTATCCTGTGCCATAAGTTTAGAATATGTCAATAATCTATTACAAGTACGTGTATCACAATTGTATGCATCAATTTGTTTTAAATGTTGATATTGAAGCTTCGTGCAGATTGTTTTATTTATTTAGGAGAATTTCAATGAATTGCTCTTTCAACTTTTAAAAAAAAATACATTATTTAAAGACAATAAATAATAATTTACAGAATAAAATAGATACAGATTTGTATGTAATTAGAATATCAACATTTGTCAATAATGTGATGCGCCCCTTCCCACCTTATTATCCCCACATTGTTCTATGAACATATGGTATTAGACATGTTGGACCCACCACTGATAAAACATTTGACTCCATTGATGACATCATTTTCCAGAGCCAGAAATAAAAAAAATATGGTCTAATCAGATTCATCCTGCTATGGTCTGAAAGAGCTAATATAAAGCTATGGTCTGAAAGTGCTAATATAAAGCTATGGTCTGAAAGAGCTGATATAAAGCTATGGTCTGAAAGTGCTATTATAAAGCTATGGTCTGAAAGAGCTGATATAAAGCTATGGTCTGAAAGAGCTGATATAAAGCTATGGTCTGAAAGTGCTAATATAAAGCTATGGTCTGAAAGTGCTAATATAAAGCTATGGTCTGAAAGTGCTAATATAAAGCTATGGTCTGAAAGTGCTAATATAAAGCTATGGTCTGAAAGTGCTAATATAAAGCTATGGTCTGAAAGTGCTAATATAAAGCTATGGTCTGAAAGAGCTGATATAAAGCTATGGTCTGAAAGAGCTGATATAAAGCTATGGTCTGAAAGTGCTAATATAAAGCTATGGTCTGAAAGTGCTAATATAAAGCTATGGTCTGAATATAAAGCTATGGTCTGAAAGAGCTGATATAAAGCTATGGTCTGAAAGAGCTGATATAAAGCTATGGTCTGAAAGTGCTAATATAAAGCTATGGTCTGAAAGTGCTAATATAAAGCTATGGTCTGAAAGTGCTAATATAAAGCTATGGTCTGAAAGTGCTAATATAAAGCTATGGTCTGAAAGAGCTGATATAAAGCTATGGTCTGAAAGAGCTGATATAAAGCTATGGTCTGAAAATGCTAATATAAAGCTATGGTCTGAAAGTGCTAATATAAAGCTATGGTCTGAAAGTGCTAATATAAAGCTATGGTCTCAAAGTGCTAATATAAAGCTATGGTCTGAAAGTGCTAATATAAAGCTATGGTCTCAAAGTGCTAATATAAAGCTATGGTCTAAAAGTGCTGATATAAAGCTATGTCTTGAGAGTGCTGGTGTAAAGCTATGGTCTGAAAGTGCTGGTGTAAAGCTATGGTCTGAAAGTGCTGGTGTAAAGCTATGGTCTGAAAGAGCTGATATAAAGCTATGGTCTGAAAGTGCTGATATAAAGCTATGTCTTGAGAGTGCTGGTGTAAAGCTATGGTCTGAAAGTGCTAATGTAAAGCTATGGTCTGAAAGTGCTGATGTAAAGCTACGGTCTGAAAGTGCTGGTGTAAAGCTATGGTCTAAAAGTGCTAATGTAAAGCTATGGTCTAAAAGTGCTGATATAAAGCTATGTCTTGAGAGTGCTGGTGTAAAGCTATGGTCTGAAAGTACTGATATAAAGCTATGTCTTGAGAGTGCTGGTGTAAAGCTATGGTCTAAAAGTGCTAATGTAAAGCTATGGTCTAAAAGTGCTGATATAAAGTATAAAGCTAGGTCTTGAGAGTGCTGGTGTAAAGCTATGGTCTGAAAGTGCTGATATAAAGCTATGTCTTGAGAGTGCTGGTGTAAAGCTATGGTCTAAAAGTGCTAATGTAAAGCTATGGTCTGAAAATGCTGATATAAAGCTATGTCTTGAGAGTGCTGGTGTAAAGCTATGGTCTGAAAGTGCTAATATAAAGCTATGGTCTGAAAGTGCTGATGTAAAGCTATGGTCTAAAAGTGCTGATATAAAGCTATGTCTTGAGAGTGCTGGTGTAAAGCTATGGTCTAAAAGTGCTAATGTAAAGCTATGGTCTGAAAGTGCTGGTGTAAAGCTACGGTCTGAAAGTGCTGGTGTAAAGCTATGGTCTGAAAGTGCTGATATAAAGCTACGGTCTGAAAGTGCTGGTGTAAAGCTACGGTCTGAAAGTGCTGGTGTAAAGCTACGGTCTGAAAGTGCTGGTGTAAAGCTATGGTCTGAAAGTGCTGATATAAAGCTACGTTCTGAAAGTGCTGGTGTAAAGCTATGGTCTGAAAGTGCTGGTGTAAAGCTATTGTCTGAAAGAACTGATGTAAACAACTGGAGGTGGTCTTACAAGATCATTCTAAGAAAGATGTATTATTGCTTGTTCTCAACTGTCTTCTATGTTATGTTTTATTGGGATTGTGATAAACGCATATTAGGCTATTAATATTTTCAGTTCAAGAAATATTGTCAAGGTTCCCAAGATATTTTGACATGTCATGTTCTAAATGCCATTTTGATATTTAACAATAGAATCATGTGCTTCAGAACATGTCTATATTTGTGTAGTTTAGAAATGTTTTTTATATCTGATGTTGTTAAGCTTCATTCACTCCACCATGTTTAGATAGTCTTTTGTCAGTGAGCAGATGTCATGTCAAGTGTAGATGTTCTGTGGTATGGTTTAAATATGAAGATGCCCTTTATCCTTTAGTCAATTATTAATGTGTAGATATTCTGTTTTTTTGTGTGTAAATGTGTAGATGTTGTACTGTCAAGTGTACATGTGTAGATGTTCTGTTGACTAGTTAATGTGTACTTGTCCTTCTGCCAAGTGTAAATGTGTAGATGTTCTGTTGACTAGTTAATGTGTAAATGTCCTGCTGCCAAGTGTAAATGTGTAGATGTTCTGTTGACTATTAAATGTGTACATGTCCTGCTGCCAAGTGTAAATGTTCTTGTGTACATAGTTTGTTGTCTGGTGTATATGTGTAGTTGTCTGGTGTATATGTGTAGTTGTCCTGTCGCCTGGTATACATGAAAAGACATTTCTAGCACCAAGTAAAACTAACCAGTATAAAAAAACAAACATTTGGTGTTGTGGTGTTTTCTTCTTTCAAGATTTTTGCAGTTTAAACGAAAATCTTTCCATTTGCTATCTTTATTTAGTTTACAAATGTTCATGTTTTCTCATAAAAGTTTAAAATAATTTTACATTAAAAAAATGTAGCCTGATAGCCCTGGTTAGCTGTAAGATTTTAAGGTTTGGTACTGCCATTACTACTGGTATCCTATTAAATGTTTGAATAATATTTTTATGTCCATTTCATGCAGTAATTAGTAATTTACAGGACATAGAATACTTCGTAACAGATGTAAACATCCAGCATGCCATTTGAAACTATAAAATATTACTTTCATCAATCCACTACTAGATACCAGGGTGCCTATGTCCCCCCCACCAAGTGGTGTAAGCCACCCCCTCCCACTTTTTCCCCCCTGTACTTTGATCAATTCTGCATGGAATTTAATTTGAGAGTTCACTAGGAATATTAGTACTACAAAAAGGTTACAGTTAAAATAGTGTTGACTATTCAGTAATGAGAGTTATAACAAACGATTACAATTACACCAAAAAAATGAATTATAGTAACCGGTATAGCAGACCTATAATTATATTTATTTTCTTTACTCTAAAAAAACTGAAGATTATCAATGGCTTAGAGTGAGGTCAAGATTAAGTCCACACTTTACTTTTGGGTTAGAGTTCAATCCCCAGTGAAGCCAAATTTAAAAAAAAAAAAAATGATCATTTTCCCCAATGCCCATATCAACTTTAACATTATCACTTGGAGCAATTTAAAACCCAGCAGGGGTCGGCATTTTTTAAAATTCCCTCCCCCACCCCCTAAACCTAGATTGGAAGCAACAACTACTTATGTGTGGGCATACTTCGCAAATCTTTAAAACACTTTTATTTTTTCCTGCAGAGAGAAGACAAAAACATCAGTAGTTTATTGTCAACTACAACAGTGAAGGAATAGTACCGTAGTAAAAAATGATATGTTCAATAGTAAAGAAATAGTAGTAAAAATGATATGTTCTATAGTTATGGAATAGTAGTAAAAATGATGTATTCAATAGTGAAGTGACAGTAGTAAAATGATATATTCAATAGTAAAGAAATAGTGGTAAAAATGATATGTTCTATAGTGATGGAATAGTAGTAAAAATGATATGTTCAATAGTGAATGAATAGTGGTAAAAATGATATGTTCAATAGTGAAGTAACAGTAGTAAAAATGATATGTTCAATAGTAAAGGAATAGTGGTAAAAATGATATGTTCCATAGTGATGGAATAGTGGTAACAATGATATGTTCTATAGTGATGGAATAGTAGTAAAAATGATATATTCAATAGTGAAGTGACAGTAATAAAAGTGATATGTTCAATAGTAAAGAAATAGTGGTAAAAATGATATGTTCTATAGTGATGGAATAGTAGTAAAAAATGATATGTTCAATAGTAAAGGAATAGTGGTAAAAATGATATGTTCTATAGTGATGGAATAGTAGTAAAAATGATATTTTCAATAGTGAAGTAAAGTAACAGTAGTAAAAATGATATGTTCAATAGTAAAGGAATAGTGGTAAAAATGATATGTTCTATAGTGATGGAATAGTCGTAAAAAAGTTTTTAAAAAATGATATTTTCAATAGTGATGTAGCAGTAGTAAAAAAGATACGTCAATAGTGAAGAAATAGAAGTAAAAAGAATATGTTCCATAGTGAAGAATTGGTAGTAAAAATGATATGTTCAATAGTGAAGTTATGGTGGTAAAAATGAAATGTTCAAAGCTACCCACTCTAAGGAAGGTTATGGGAAGATCAATTTGAGATATTGGACTAGACATTTAATGAATTCCATTAAAAATATTAGGCGGCACTTAATTCAAATGTAACATGTGAGGCCTATAGTAGAACTTTAAAAAAAAAATAAAAAATACAATGTTATTTTAAGAGCACTTGATATGTACTACATGAAGCTCAGTGACAACATGTCTGTCTGTAGATGGCTCGATCAATCACAAGAAACCCAAACAGTGCACCGCAACCAAATTTGACGTGGTCTTCCTCCCGACCTACGGGTTATGACTTACGGTTCCTGGAAAGTTTGGTCAAAATCTCGTTATCCAAAAAGCTATAATTTAAAATGTAGAAAGTAAGATATAGGCCTACCGTGTACGCATTTTTTAAATAAGCCGTTATTCACTGAAATGTGCTTGGCCCCAAATTCAAGGTTTACAAGAATTATACTAAATCTGGCCTTTTATTTGGAGAAAATTTTAACAATTACCCTAGCGAAGTGTTTTATTTTTACTATGTGTTTACTTATAACGCATTAATTCATTATTTTTTTCCAAATACAAACTCGAGAAAAGCTGAGTATACTAAATGAAACTCTTCTCCATTTTCTTCTGTATGCTTGTTCAATTTGCCTTCAGCAAAAAAAAATAATAATAAGCGTCTGTCACTATCGGGCTTAGTACGCTCCTATATGGCAGTGAAGCGTGGACGACATATGCCAGTCATGAGCGGAAAGTCAGCAGCTTCCATCAAAGATGTCTGCGTCGCATCGTACTCTTAACGCATTCGATGGGAAGACAAGGTGCCCAACAGGGAGTTCTTGGAACGTCCAAACATGTGTAGCATATTCTCCGCTCTTAGCAATAGGTGCATTCACTGGTTAGACAAAGTAAGGAGAATTTAGGAAGGCCATGTTCCAAAGAATCTGCTGTATGGAGAGTTGGATGAAGGGACAAGGCTTATTGGACGGCCACGGCTGTGATTTATGGACGTTTGCAAAAGGAGCACGATGGAAGCCAACATATAAATCAAAGAATGGGAGATCATCGCTGAGCACCGTTCCAGCTGGCGAACAGCAGTTTATGAAGGAGTTAAAAAAAAAGAAGATGCGCGAAACGAAGTCATTGCAATGAACTGCGCAGTCTAACCAGGAGTCAAGGTTCTCTTTCGAGAAATGCAACCGAGACTGCCATTCCAGGATCGGCTTACTAAGCCATTTGATGAAGTGTGCATAGCTACTCCATAGTCTCGCGAAGACGGAAGGATGCCATATTTAGATATACTAAACGAAAGTCAAAAGTCTTAATTTTTAAATGATGTCAAGTCGGAAGTTTGAATGTGTTCCTTTAGAGTAGGTTCCCTTTATACTTGAAAGCTACGCTACAAGTTTAGTACAAGCAAACATGAACTTAAAATATTTAACTACCACATTGGAGCATAATGAAATTATTTTTAAAAAAAACAAGTTTACTGAAGCCCCAAAATATTTAAAATTTCTATGAGAACTGAAAAGCAACAAAACAAATTCAAATTATTTCTTTAAAATGATTTCCGCAATAAGAATGTCTTATTACAGGTATGACTATTTATAAGAATATTGAACTGCGATAAAGCTTTGTTACAGGCGTGTCAACTAACATATCTAAAACTGCACACCTATCCAACCCTCTTCTGCACGTCCCACCACCAGGCGTCATCCATCAACTGCTCAGACTCATTGCAGTTCCACTCCCCAATCAAACTTCTTTGGTTTGCTCTCATGCTGAGTGTGTTGACTCAAGTACACCTTGAACTTTTGGTGGTTGAAATGGACACACGTAAGGACTCTGCCGACTGGCTTCCCTGACTTGGACGTAGAAAGTCACTAATTTAAGAAAGACTAAGCAGGTGCTTGCACTAATGAGTTGGTGGCTGGTTCACTGGTCCGCAATGGCTAGCTTAGTTGGCCCACACTTCTGTCTGAGGTTCACCTCAAAATAAACACCAGGCAGCTTTAATCATGGACTTTATCTTCTCGCATAATTGTGCTCCCTCAGCAGTGGCGTAGGTAGGGTTAGTGCCGCCTGAGAATTTTGCGACCCTCCCTTTCCACAAAACAAAACTTTGCAGAGAATTTTGCCACCCCCTCAATATATATCGACCCCTAACACCCCCCCCCCCCCCCCCCCCTTAACAGCCCGGTTCCTGAATTATAGTTAGCATTATGTTCGTCCCAACAAACGCTGAGCATTTAACCAAAAGTGCGCCATCGTCTAAGGGAGAAGATCTCCTTCCGGTTTCATGACGACAATAACCAGTTTTGGCCAGGCTCGATTTATAGTAGGAAATCGTTCGCAACAGCTCATACTCTGCCCACACTGGCTCTGTTGCTCAGGAACCAATGCCAAATATCAGTTGAAGTTAAAAAAAAATAAAATAAAAATAAGATCAAACATCAATGTAATTGTTTCCGTAGTAACTGATTTCATTATCGCGTACCTATGAGATATTCTGAATAAGGTTGAACCACTCTTTTTTCAGCACAAGAGCAAACCCGGCCACGGTTAAAGTCAACACAATGCTGAGACACAGCATTGTCAGCAACTTAAGTGTGTCGGACAGTCCCACTTGGAACGTTAAATTTACCATTCCGGGATTGTCTCTTGAAAATTATGATCGAGATGGTAGGTCCTTCTAGATTTGATGATTTGTATCGTTGTTCAGATTATCCTAATTCGATGTATCAGATTATCACAGTTCAATGTTTCAGATTACCACAATTCAATGTATCAGATTATCACAGTTCAATGCTTCTCACCTGAGCTTTGATCAGACCGTGATTAAAGAAAAGTTGAACAGAAACTTTCACGGTTTTCAGTTCTTTACCATGGCAGCCAGACAAACTTCGGGAAAAAAAACAACCTTAAAAGCATGTAGTCACAACGCTATGAAATATTTTATCAATTCACTTTACTCTCATCAACCCACATGCCATGATGAGGAATGGAAAATGCAATGGGGTTTGACAAAACAAAGTGTGTGGGGTTAGGGTGTACTGAATGTCGTTTCTTTGTGTGTGTAAGTGGGGAAGTGGGGTGTGTGGATGCTGGAACCTTTGCAGATGGGTCAAGTTAAAACATATTTTATCGTCTTCACAAAATTGTGATCGGTCAGCACCGCAGAATTTCTTCTCAATACTTTAAAACGTTCTTGATGTGCCCCTGCACATTCAAAGTAAGTCCCATTGTTCGTCAGCGCTGTTATTATGTTATGTTCATTATGTTATGTTTGTTATGTTTATTTATTATGTTATGTTTGTTATTTTATGTTTATTATGCTGTTTGTTATGTTAAGTTTAATTATGTCTTACTGTGTATGTTAGGTTTATTATGTCTTACTGTGTATGTTATGTTTATTGTCTTACTATGTATGTTATGTTGATGTGTCGTACTATGTATAATGTTATGTTTATTGTGTCTTACTGTGTATGTTATGTTTATTGTCTCTTACTGTGTATGTTATTTTTATTATGTCTTACTGTGTATGTTATGTTTACTATGTCTTACTGTGTATATAATGTTTATTATGTCTTACTGTGTCTATCTCACAGGAAACCCTAAGATGACCAGCCTCATGGTTAAACCAATCATGGCCCTGCCCTATGTTTACAAACAGTTGTCCGATGAAAAGAACAAAACTCTGATGGCCTGGAAAGGTTTAACAAAAGACAGACTCGTTTTTTCTGCCTCTGCGACGTTCACAATGTCCCGGGCGGTGTACTGTCCAGAAATACCCAAGTGGCCACTCGACGTCCACTTCTGTATTGGCTACGTAGGGAAATCGTCGCTAAAGACGGTTGCGAACTTCTGCCCTTCCGGCCGAGAGTCCGAGCCGCTGTGGACTGAAGTTTATCATTTTGTGTCAGTGGACAACGTGACCCGGAAGTCGAAACCTTGGCCAGGCTGGTTTCAAGATCACTTTAAAGGAAAGGGCTGCGCTTACAAAGGTCACACCGTTAGGCCCTTTGAACGGCCTTCGTTAACTTACAACTGCCCGGTTAAGGTGAGGTTTCAGGGAAACAAATCAATTTAATTTTTTTTTAAAACTCATAGCCCGTACACTAAGCGCTGCGTTTTCACGGACTCACTTTAGGAAATACCAGCAATGAACAATCTCTATATATAATTCGCCAGAAGTAGGACAAACACCACCACGCAGGCTATATATAGATACGCCAGAGCAAGCAAAACGTAGGCAAACCATCCCCTTCCCATCCCTTGCCACCCTCGCTTGCCTGCCAGCTTATGCTAAGCGCGGCGTCTGCTAAGCCGCGGGTCGGCGTGAAATAAAAAGTGTGCCGTGACGTATCATGAAAAAAAAGGGGGGGGGGATGCCTGTAGCAACATTGGCATTCTTAAATGTGCGTAACTTGAGTTCATGTTTTTGTAAGGTAACTTTAGTAGATGGGAAGTTCACGCATTGCTACCGCCAATGTTTGGCGGGCTATAACTAGTCTTATACTAAATTAGGGAGTTTTAACCAACAACTTCATGACTAGTTCTAATCTGCTGAAAATTCTATGGCAGTCTTCTAAAAATTACTGTCAAGTTCAATTAATTATTGACCTTTTTCCAGTTTGAAAAGTTTGACCACTTCTCATTCGGTTCTTGAATTTTCCATCTCTCCATCCATGTTTGAATTTGTCATCTCTCCATCTATGTCTGAATTTTCATCTCTCCATACATTTTTGAATTTATGATCTCTCCATCCATCTTTTCTTTTTTTTTAATCTTTAAGGTTACACAGTATTGTGCACAATCTCTTGCAGGTCAGATGGTCGGATATCGACTACAATAACCACTCAACATTTACATCCTATGTGCACTGGGCCATTAATGCCATCCATGCTACCATCAGAGAAGAGGACGAAGCCAAGGGTCTGAAATCAACATTTGGCGCAGACCAACGGCCTAGCAGTGCCCTCAACGGCATAAACAAAGACATCATCACAAATGGCCTGAAAGATGTCCAGATATGTTTTCTCAGTGAGAGCCTGGAGGGACAAGTTCTAAATGTTCATGTCTGGCAACAGCACAATCTGGCACATGCAGTTTTTACATCCATTGAGAGAGACTCGGAAGTGATCTGTCAGATTAAGTTTGAGTACAACAGTGAGCCTACTCCATTGAACCCCACGGAATTCGCTGCATTTTGAGTTATATTACAGAAGGTGTTAGTGATGGAAGTTATATTATAGGATGTGTTTGTGAGGGAAGTTGTATTACATAAGGTGTTAGTGTGGTAAGTTATATTACAGGATGTGTTTGTGAGGGAGGTTTTATTACAGGATGTGTTTGTGAGGTAAGTTATATTTCAGGATGTGTTAGTGAAGTAAGTTAGATTACGGGATGGGTTAGTGAGGTAAGTTATATTACAGGATGTGTTAGTGAGGTCATTTATATCACAGGATGTGTTAGTGAGGTCATTTATATCCCAGGATGTGTTAGTGAGGTCATTTATATTACAAGATGTGTTAGTGAAGTCATTTATATTACAGGATGTGTTAGTGAGGTCATTTATATTACAGAATGTGTTAGTGAGGTAAGTTATATTACAGGATGTGTTGTGGAGTGAAATTATATGACAGGATGTGTTAGTGAGAAAAGTTATATTACAGGCATGGTCGGCTCTAGCTAGGTTTGAGCTACATGCAAGAAGAAAAAAATGCCACCCCTAATCACAAAGGTTGTAAGTAGTTTTCATAGAAACACAATTTTCTTTCTTTTTTTTTTTTTTAGTTCTGTACTAAATGATGACAATGTTTATGAATATTTGTATCTTAATTTACAAAAAAAAAGCCAAACTACTTAACTCAAATTCTCAAACTGTCAAACCGGTGTCAACTAGCATTAAGATGTCAAACTGTCAAACCGGTGTCACCTAGCGTTAAGAGATTTATTGATTAATTTAAAAGTTGATTTCAAGATAAATATCCGTTTCTTGCTCACGAAAAGAAAATGTTTAAAAATCCCGTAAATTGTTAGCAAATGATTGTCAAATTGTTAAAGCGTATCTTATCATGAAAAGTCCATTTAAACAAAACAATTTTTGCGAAAAGCAGGAGCAAAATTCTGAATTATCTTATGTCTCCATCCAATCTACGACGTGGAAGTCAGTTTTAAATAGCATTCCCCCCAACGAGCCTTGTCCTAGCTTTTTAATTCACGGTTAAAATAGCTATTCTAAATGTAGTAAATCTTCTTTCCTATTGTTTGTAACATGGTGAGTTGTAATAAATATTAACCGATTAATTCCTTTTAAATCATATCTAGTCTAATTCTAAAAATAAAAAAATAAAAAATATTAAAAAATGACCGAAATGCAACAAGTGGACGTATCAGTAGCACCGTGTTCACTAGACTCGCCACTGACTGTGTTTCAACTCCGATAACTTGTTGGCTTATTGCCCTTGATTAAAAAAAAAAAAGATTTATTAACCAATAATAAAATTACCGCCGGAGAAGTTTGTATTCAATAGCCGCTAAATTAGAACAAAACAAACAAACATCAACAGCAAAGCGTGCCGATCATGACCTGCTCACGTGCGTCATGGGTAGAGCTGGAGGGGAGAGTTATTCTTATTATTATTATTTTTTTTCGACACACAAGGCAATGTAAAACCCTGCGGGCTTCTCATGAGGGAATCGGTTTGAAACCTTTACTTAAATATATTTGCATCTATCTTATATTTCTAGAAATAATTAACAAATAAATATTTTAAAAAAAAACAACTAAAAAAAAAAACAACAACAACTAGATGGGGCGGCCGTGTCAAAAAAGGGTAAGTAGGATAATGAAACGCCTCTGCATACATTGAATGTGTTTAACCACATACAAAAATGTTAGTGTAAATATAATATGACGTACGAATAGTGAATCTAGGTGAAAATATAAATGAATGATTTTTAAAATTGATTCAGGGCAAAACGAACACAAGGGCGAAAAATGAATCATCGGGCTTTCGAATGATGAAATTTATGTTTTAAAACACAGGAGAGTTTATGTTAAAAAAGTATCTGGACTCTTTCCAATTCCTATTTCCATAATGCAACAAGCAACTGATTACATCCATACAGAGCGGAATAGGTCCAGTTCGTTAGGTAAGGCATTCATGGCCGGTTGTGTGTTGTTCACACATCGCTGTGAGATAGTGTGTGACCCCGCTAGAGATTTGACGCTGAACGATGTCCCTTAATTCAATTAGCATATTTAAATTAGGTTTTACTGGCGAAAGCTCACGACGAAATATTGATTTACTAAGTATCTAAGCAATTACCCCCCCCCCTTTTTTTGGGGGGGGGGGATAATTATTTCCTCTTAACTCAATAGAAATGTTTGCACATTAATTTAAAAAAAATAATCCGAAAACAGCAATATTTCTGTGACTTTAATAACCCCATTACCTTATTTATTCACGAAAGATATCAATTACAGTTTTACGTCCAATAACCTGTGTGGGATCCTGCTAATTCTCGGTTTCTCTCTCACTCTCTTTCTCTCTCTCTCTCTCTTTCTCTCTCTCTCTCTCTCTCTCTCTCTCTCTCTCTCTCTCTGTCCCGTTTTCAAAGTTAGTGGCTTATTTTTCCACCACCTCCCATCAATGTTCCCTCTAAGGTTTGTTGGTTCATGAGCAAAATCATAAAGTTGTGTGCACATTTTTACAGCATCATTTTTTTTGTGCGCAAAATTTTTCAGCCTAAAGACACAAACGCACACATAGGTGGAAATTAGCTGCGCGGTACTCAAAACTGCTGCGCGGCGTCTGTGAGATTGCTGCGCGGCCTCCCAAACATGGGCCCCTTATGTATCAGAGGCCTCCTCTGTTTTTACCAGTCTTGTCTTATGAGACAAAGTCTTAGCATTTGGGAAATAAAAGCGGAGAAATAAATATACATAAAAATAATTGTGACTTAATTTTACAAAGGTTCTCAAACTTTTTGACCAAGGGCCACATGATACGGAAATTAAATTCAGCTGCAAACAGCCGCAGGGCAAGTTCGTGATAAGGACGTCGAAATGACGTCAGGAAATAAGCCGCGACCATATTTTTTCTATTGATTCATAAGCCTAACATTCGCCGATAAAACATGAGTATTATGTCGACAAGTCGCTGAGTGAGACCGGCTGTTTGGGGCCTGCAGCCAATCAATCACGGCCATTATCTCAACTGTTTGACTTCTAGAAATTATTTGTTAGGGCAAACACAATATTGGCAAATCGAAAGGTTTTTTGTGTGCTAAAGCTCTGGTCTGACATCGCTTCGTGTTGACAAGTCAAGCGGCCCCGTGCTAGGCGAACAACGAGACGCTGGGTTTGAGAGTGTCAGTGTTTGATTGGTTGGATTTGTTGACGACGGAGAATACCACATTTTGTTGATTGGTTGAAACATATTTTTTAAAAACTTAATATACATAGAACTTAAACACTTCATTGAGTTAAATGGCATAATATGTGAATAGAATATAAATCGTTATTTGAATGCTTTTTCTAAATTCTTCTCGGTGTCCTTGCGTCCAGTTTCATAAAAAGGAAATGAGTAAAAAAAAAAGGTATGTGAAAACCTGAAAAAAAAAAGGAATGCAACAAAAACGAACGTGTCGGCAGGAAGTCTTCGTCAACGAAAACCCCCCAGAGCAAAAGAAAAATGTTGTTTTGTTGCTTCCCTTCTTCAGGTTTAACCATACTTTGTTTTAGGCATTTCCTTTTTTTTTTTTGCTAACTTGATTGCAGTGTCTTCCCCTTATTACCAGTTTCATGAAGTCTGTTTTTATTAGTATTATTAATTAGCCCTGGATCATTTGTTGTTTCCGCTTTCACTTTTAAATTCCTGGATTGTTTTCATTGTAATTATAGCCTACAGAAGCTTATAGTCCTGAAAGATGTCAAGAGGAAAGAGTATCCAATCGTCCAACATATAAACTGAAATTAACGTCATCAAATCTACTGTGTCCGAAAGTTTTGTGCCTTATCTAATCTCGAGTCTCTGATAAAGTTATGGAAATTCGAATTACGACATTATTTTTAAAACTTACACCGAAATTACAAACCTGGGGGTCGAGAAATTAATAAAATAAATTGGTTATAACACGAATTCATACCATGGCGTCATGCAAAAATATTTCTATAAATAGACTAATTTGTTTCTTTAATATTTAAATTGAAAAGAACAACAACAAAAAAACAAAACAAAAAACAATACCAACAATACTTTTCAGCCTCTCCTTTCTTTTCTCAGAAAACTGTCACAGAAGCAGGTTGTCTAAAGAAACTCCAACCTATTGGCCAACCCTTCCCCGACACCCCTGAGACCCCCAACCACAAAATCCCCCTACCTCTCAACCCCATTGAGATCAGTTCCATGTAATGGATAGAAATGTCGAAAACTTCTTGTTTAAACGAAAAAAACCACAGGCAAACAGCCCCCTTGTTTGCAGTTGATCGTATGGTGAATGTATTGAACAATGGATGGCTGAATGGGGAATTTCCGAATAGTTCGGACCATGGCCGTACACTTAGTGCAGTTGCTGAAGCAACGGTTCTCAACATTTTCTTCTTCTTTTTTTACATCATTTAATATTTGAACTTTATTCCTTGAAATGATGACAGCACAGAAATTGGAAAGAATTGAAGTTTAAAAGTGGAAAAAAATTGAAGTTTTTAAGTTGAAAAGAATTGAAGTTGGAAAGAATCGAAGTTTTGAATTTGGAAAGAATCGACGTTTTGATGTTGGCTGCGATAACGAAACATGAAGCCCGCGACATCTGTCTCAATTCGTTCACTGCGCGTGCTCTTTATATTAACTTACTGGTGACGCTTAAAAAAAAATTTCTTCGCGGAACTCTAGGATAAAATAATTTGGTACACATCTTTAATATCAAGGACCGTTTTATACTTTAAAAAAAAAAAGGAGGTGGATCCTCGATTTAACTGGGATGCTAATATTAAATGTATGTAGATGAACGTGATCAACTTGTTTTGTTTTTTTACCAGTGCTTGTTTTTAGATCTATGCCCTTTGTAGCCAAGAGTTGTAACCAGTTCGGTTAGAGACTGCACAATAATAATAATAATAAAAAAAAAAAAAGATTGAGTCATCAAAAGATCAGGTACATCCGTTATCCATGCATAGATACATAAAACAACGTAATAGATATACAATTCATTCAAATTGGCACCACGACGATTGACGTCTCAGAAGGACACCTCACAGTCAAAGATAAAAAGCTGCTCCTTGTCAGCACAAATATTTGTATATATTGGGACCATCATGGGGCCAAAAAAAAAATAATAACAAATAAAGACTTTATGTCCTGGTTTTACGTTAAAGGAAATAAATGGTCACCTTAATGTAGATTAGTTTTTGAATAGCAGGCAAGCAAATTATTTCACCAATGCCATAGAGCACATTCAGCATTGTTACTAACAATTTCGCTCGGGGCTTCACATTGACAGGAGTCTCTAATACATTCAAATATTTGCCTGTCATTGAGGACTGCTTAGCATTGGCTCAACGTTATGGATGAATTTCTAATGTATTTTTTTTTGAAGCATGTGAGTTGAATAAGTATAATATTATTTGTATTATTTCGTTTTATTCATATAGTTAAATACTTATATAATAGATTAAATATTTTTTTAGATATCCTCGCGAAAACGGGTGATCTGTGACGGGATAATGACGTCTCTGTTCGTAGCCACTATGTTCACAGAATTATAGATAGTTCAGGCGCAAAGCCCAATTCCTATAAAAAAAAAATAATTATATAGTTCATGATCACATATCAGTAGGAATTTGGGGAACATTCGAGCGACAGGTACGTCTTTCAGGCGCTACACTATCCAGATATGCTGCGAGTGTTAGAGCCTGGTGTTGGTGTAAGGTCAAGGTGTAGTCAAGAAAGGTCACTGGTGTTGACCTTTGTAAGGTGAGGTAAAAAATAAGAGAGTCTCCCTCTCCCTGTCTCTCTCTGTGGAAAGGAGAGAGAGAGAGAGAGAGAGAGAGAGAGAGAGAAAGAAAGAGAGAGAGAGAGTGGAGAGGTTGTGTGCGGGAAAATGAATAACACCAAGAGTAATGGAGGGAATGAGAGTTTCTGGGTCACAAGGATTTCAAACTATGGGATAGGACCTTGAAAAACAAAAAAATATATTTATTTTCGGAAAGTTAAGAGCACAATGGTTTGGTGCATATCATTTTCGCTTTCATATTATCATTTGTGGTTGTCATGGTTTGGCGGAGTAAACATGGATCGAATGGCGTCTTCGTGAATTCAGAGGAAAAAAAATATTCATGGTAAAAGTATACATTTTATTTTAAAAACAATATTATTGGGTTTGCTTTAATTAACACTATACTTCACTTAATGGGATCGAGTCTAAAAACAACAAACATGATTTAGGAACCAACAAAACTTGGTGAATGTAATGGCCAACACGGGCAAGCTACTCTCTTTTACTAAAATTGCGATGTACCGTTTAGCTAGTGGACTTCTCAGTCCAGTTATATTATATCTTGAGCAAACCGAGGGGGGACCGCTGAGCGTGAGTCTGACGAGCGTTTTCAAATGAGGACTGTTGACTTATGTGCTAAAGTTAATCATGTTTAGCTCCCTCTGGGAGACATTGGGAGACATTTGGAGATATTTTCATATCGTCTGCGGTTATCGTCAACAGCGTGATAAGGAACGTTGGTGAGGAAATCATAGGGTTAATCCCACAGGAAATCATAGGGTTAATCCCACATGATGGATGGGGAGATTTCTCTGCAGAGGCGTTTTCAATTTTTTTTGGAGCGACTTGGTGGGGAGCGAATTAATGGAGACTGGCTTACTTGGGAGTTTCTTGGTGGGAGTTGCACAAGACTTGTGACATGTGTCTGTTCAATTACTTAGATGTGATGCAGCAGCCATGCGTCTGATTACTTGACTGATGGAAACCAAGTTCGTGTAAGATTACTTGGCACTGTGTCCGATTACCTGGCTGTGAGACACTAGCACTATGTCCGATTACTTTGCCGTGAGACAGTAGCACTGTGTCCGATTACTTGGCTGTGAGACACTAGCTTTGTGTCTGATTACTTGGCTGTGAGACACCAGCTATGTGTCCGATTACTTGACCGTGGGACACAGCTATGTGACCGATTACTTGGCTGTGGGACACCAGCTGTGTCCGATCACTTGGCTGCTAGACAACAGAAGACACTTGTCACTTAGAAGATTCTGTTACGCCTCTGAACTTTTAATAACTGTTTTCATTTCTGAATGTGTGTTGGGGAGATGGGGGTAGGGGCAGCTGATTAGGTTACGGTAAAACAATATTGAATCATATTTTATTTCTTTAAAAACAATGGACCAAAAAAAAACGTAATTCTTACAGAATGAACAAGACCATGTTGTGAGGAAAATTGTATTTAAAAAAAAAAGATATGAGGGAATACAAAGGGAGCACAGAAGAGGGACTTTGGTTAGAGGCTTTACCCACACATGCGTGGATGTCAATCAGTGGTAATGGCGGCAATAGGTTACTCGAGACACTTCCATTTATTTTCCACAGGAGGACGACAACATGAGACAAGGAAAATGCTAATCGAAGTTTTTAAAAAGTAATCGAGAATACAGAACTCCAAAGTTTAATTCACGTGAAAGAAAACCGTTCAATTGTTAAAATGTAATACATTGCCAGACAAGAAGAGCTTCCTTGTACATACGATTCAGCTCACTATAAATTACAATTTAATTTTTTTTCCCTCATACGCTTAAAATGCTTGGCTACTGTTCTGATTTCAAAGAAATAATGCGTAGCTTTATAATATGTTATAAATCTTGTGGGACGTTAGGGACTATTCAGTGCGCTGAAATATCTTAGCATTATACGCGTCTTCAAGGTGCAATTATCATGTGTTTGATTAACTGTCTGTAGGGTTATAGGCATGATTAAATATTATATAAAAAAAATTGTGACATAATTCTGTGCGTTTATGACTGGCATGACGTATTATTCAAAGGAGACAAATGTTGAAATCATGTTGTTAACAAGAGAGACAAATAACACCGGAAAAAACATTGACTGTTTATTCCATTTTAAATACATCGGCGGTTCCTAAACCGTTCGTCTGCGAAATTATAAGGCTCCATAACAGTCTTTATGGGGCTCCACAAGAGATATTTAAAAAAAAATAAGTATTTAATGTATTTTAAAATAAAGCCAAACCTGCAGCGACTGTATGGTCAGTTGGTGTCTGAGCATCAAAGAAGACAATAAATGACGTCAGTATGCTTTTTCTTTTGATTGGCACAGAAGATGTATGTGAAAAAAGAAGGGTGGGTGGACATGATGTAACCTGAAATATATATTTTGTAACTGTAGTTACTTCATCCCGTGCAGGTCAGCATCTGAGCCCCAGGCACCATCACCAATTAGGGCGCTTGGATGTTCTGTAAAAGTATCTCTCGTAAGTATGATCAAAAATGTGACTTATTTAATGTGGATTTTCAATGGAATAATGTAGATAGAGATACGGCCGTTAGTCAGCATTCAAGAAGAAAAGTCCTGACCAGGATTTCCAAGCTGCTTCACGTATCTCTGGTTTAGTCTCAAAAATGGATCTTCAAGTCAATGGGAAAAAAAAAAGTTATTTTTTTGTACACGTAAAGTGGCTCATTCAATGTTGCCTACCTCACTGGTGCATTCATTCACTGTGCCTACCTCACCGGTACATTCACTCCCTGGTTCTACCTCACTGGTGCATTCATTCACTGTGTCTACCTCACTGGTACATTCATTCGCTGGTTCTACCTCACTGGTGCATTCACTCCCTGGTTCTACCTCACTGGTGCATTCATTCACTGTGTTTACCTCACCGGTACATTCACTCCCTGGTTCTACCTCACTGGTGCATTCACTCACTGTGTCTACCTCACCGGTACATTCACTCCCTGGTTCTACCTCACTGGTGCATTCATTCACTGTGTCTACCTCACTGGTACATTCACTCCCTGGTTTTACCTCACTGGTGCATTCATTCACTGTGTCTACCTCACTGGTACATTCACTCCCTGGTTTTACCTCACTGGTGCATTCATTCACTGTGTCTACCTCACTGGTACATTCACTCCCTGGTTTTACCTCACTGGTGCATTCATTCACTGTGTCTACCTCACTGGTACATTCACTCCCTGGTTTTACCTCACTGGTGCATTCATTCACTGTGTCTACCTCACTGGTACATTCACTCCCTGGTTTTACCTCACTGGTGCATTCATTCACTGTGTCTACCTCACTGGTACATTCACTCCCTGGTTTTACCTCACTGGTGCATTCATTCACTGTGTCTACCTCACTGGTACATTCACTCCCTGGTTTTACCTCACTGGTGCATTCATTCACTGTGTCTACCTCACTGGTACATTCACTCCCTGGTTCTACCTCACTGGTGCATTCACTAACTGTGTCTACCTCACCGGTACATTCACTCCCTGGTTCTACCTCACTGGTGCATTCATTCACTGTGCCTACCTCACTGGTACATTCACTCACTGTGTCCACCTCAATGTTACATTCATTCAATGTGCCTTACTCACTGGTACAATTGGGATTCTACATCAAGTTACAACGTCAGTTATTGAGGGTTTCACAGTGACATTTACGGGGACAGATTTTTAAAAAATTTAAAGCGATATTTGACTTTTCATGAAGAATGTGTAAATAATTATGAAAAGCTTGGATCGATTTTTCCTCCTGGTCTATTTTTTCAAGAAAAATTATTTAGAATTTTACATTTTTTGTGCACTAAATCATTTTAGAATATTTATTCCTTGCGAGAGGATATCTTTCTGAGCACTGCTCCTACTCCCCCCCCCCCCTTTCTTCTTGTCCACCTAGTCATCGCACCAGTCTTCAGGCATCTGCCGTAAGAAAAAACAACGAAAACACAAGCAAAGATAATAAACACACAATACACAACGCACACACATATACCTACTAGGACACATGCTACCGCGCACCTACATGCCCAGCTATATTTCAGAAGCCCACCCAATTTATCAAAATTACAATTTTTTTTAAAGTATGTATACATTCTGTAATTGATAATTTAAGTCGATGTTCAATCAATTTTGGCGAAAAATAATTCCACGACTTTTATTTGACAAATCCTTGGTACTCAGAAGTGCATTTCAAATTTTGAAATAAATTTGCTCATTTTTTTTTTACCTACAGAAAATGCTCCTGCACCTTCACGTGTTGGTGGCCTTGTTAGTTGGTGTTCACGGGGACACCAGAACCTATCACAACTACACAAGGGAGACCGGGTGTTACGCCCCTGCCGACTCCACTCTCGTCAAGAGCAACTGCATGGACCCGAGGGAACCCCGCAGTTTCCTCCACTGCATCAGTCTGTGCAGCGCCAACGAATGGTGTCGAGGTGTCGTTAAGGACGCCAAAGCCAAGTGCTACTACTACAGCCCGTGCAGCTATCTGAAGCTAGGGAGCTCATGCAGACCCGAGGACACGGAAAAGGTCAACGTTTATCGGAAGCCTGGAAACGTATCCGTTATGACGGGCTGCGGCGCCGGAGGGAAGTACAACCCCGGAAACAAGACCTGCAGCTGCCAACCCGGATGGTCTGGCGTTTACTGCGACACTGCCGCGAGGAGCTGCGAGGACGCGAAGACCTCCGGGTCATTTTGGATCGACCTCCGCCTCGCGAACGTCGTGAGGACTCAGTGTGAGGTCTCGTCCGGTGAGTACAAGCTGCACGCCTTCAAGAACGACGGGAGGTCCTACCACAACAGAAGCTGGCAGGACTACGTCCGTGGTTACAGAATCGACGACAGCAACTTCTGGCTGGGCCTCGACAACATGCACTACGTCATCAACCGCATCACCAACACCTTGCGGATCGAGGTCAGTTTCGTGAACAGCTCTTACTCCCTCATCTGGGACTACCAAGGCGTGTACATCACCAGCGCCCAGTTTCACTACACCATCACTGACTACCTGACCATGCAGTGTCGGGGAAACCCGAATAGCTTCTGCGGTTACAACATCCCGAAATGCCTCATTCCGGGCGTTTCCTTTTCAACCATCGACCGAGACAATGACCCGGACCTCCTCGATGACCTTGCCAAGACGGCCGATGCCGGGTGGTGGTTCCAAGATACAAGCATCCTGTTCGGGAACAAACTCATCTGCAACCCGCTGGGCAGACTACCGAGTGAGCTGGCGGCCAGGACAAACAAGGGCAAACTGATCTTGCCGGGTCTGGACACAGAGAGAGGGGAGTACATGAAATCATTTCAGCACGTGTCAATGTACTTTTATAAATAAACGACGACTCTGAATTGTAATTAAATTTCACCACAGGACTACGTCTGCACAGGACTACGTCTGCACAGGACTACGTCTGTTTGGATTTGGCCAGTGAAACCTGTGAAGCAAAATGTTACATTATGTCACGTAATTGCATTCAACAAATGTATTATACACAGGTTATAAATCCTTATTGTAGTATTGCGATGTTGTTTGTCATAAGTGGTGAGATGTCGGTAATTATGAAGGATGCTATGAAACATTTTTTATTAGATGTGTTCCTGAAATTCTGAAAGGAGGAAGAAACGCACTTGGGGCCACGCGAAATGACTGGATCCGGAGATCCGGGTGGTCCAAGGAAAGTGTTTGGGATGTGAAAAGGCTTAATGAAATGGCGCGCGTTGTTTGTGTTACGTCGGGAATTCACAAAGACCCAAATTGCACATCATTACTCAGAAGTTGAGCCCATCATCTGGTGCGGCACTGAGGCGGTGACGTACGGCGCTGCTACTGAACACCCAGTCATGTCGTGTCAGCTCTTACAAATGGGATATAGCCCCTGGATGTCGATTTTCCCCAGACTGCTCTCATAGGTTCTTACGTTGTCAACTTGACGCCCCCGTGAAAGTAAATAACACCGAAGGCACGCGCCTCTGCTCGCTTGTGTTTACAAGTTTCCAAACTTTCATTAACATTCGGTATAATGAAGAAAATAAATTACACTAAAAATGCACACTATTCTGTTCGTTATTTAAGTGACTTTGGTTTCAGACATCTTGTCTTGTCTCGAGAGCAATTTTATAAGGATGAATGTTTAACACATCGTGTCTGTGATTAAATTATTTTATTTAATGAGACAAAGGTCAATACATTTTTATAATGTTGGCGAACTAATGGTGTAAAGCGACGTTTTAACTTAATTATTGTTTTTCTATGGTGTGTTAGTAGTACACAGCTGTGTTTATTTTAGTTGGCTAAACACGTGGGCAAAGGTTAGAATAAGCATGAAGATTTGAAAAAAAAAAGGCAAAACTTTTTTTTAAACGAATGTTTACGTTTAACTCATGGAAGTTTGCAACCTTTGAAGACGGCCAACTAAAATTTATGGTTGAAAGTTGGCCAGGTAACTTTTAGTAAACTGATGTTACGAGAACCAAACCTACCGCTCCAGTCAAGGATACCTTAGGCTACGTTGCATCTTGTTATCTCCCTTTTACATCTGTTTTGGCCATACCACTGAGACGACTCTTGGCCATACCACTGAGACGACTCTTGGCCATACCACTGAGACGACTCTTGGCCATACCACTGAGACGACTCTTGGCCATACCACTGAGACGACTCTCCCCAAACCATCACAAAAAAGGTGTATCGATCCCATTGAACATTTTTTTTCAAAACTTCGATGCCACTTGATAAGGTTTCATCCTATACAAGGGTATCGATACATTTTAACATTGTGTAACCATCCTGCATTCTGCATTGCGCCATCCAACCAAATTGAAGATATCAACTTCTCTGATTACTATGTTGCTCTAAGCCGCAGTACTAAACTACAACATTAGCTTTGCATTTGTCAACAGCAGGACGAGGTTGATCCGTTGGTGAGGACACCAATTTGTGTATAGGCGGTGGGGAGATGGGGTTTATCAAGAAATGAATAAGTACAGCCTGCAGGAGCGTATAAGAAATGAAATTATCTTATCTTGGATACGCACAGTATGTCGGGGTGGTACAGATAAGAAAGAATAGTAATCGTAATTTTTGAAACATATTAAATGTCGTAGAAGTTTCATCGCATAAAAATCCGCAAGAAACATTTGTATCAAATCTTTGAAAAGTACGTCAAATAATAATTTAATTACGGTGCCAGTAACTTACATATTGATTTTTTAAATTGATTTAAACTGAAATCAATTTAAAAAATCAACATGTAAGTTACTGGCACCGTAATTAAATTATTGTTCTTGTCAAAAAGAACACGAAGATAGAGATAAACACCAAAAAAAAAATAATAATAAAAAAAAATAATGATTCTTTCACAGAATGATACTTATAGTTTGTTGACCCTGAATGATTTGTGTCAATCTGCTCCGTATAGGACCGAGACTGTAGTCAGTGGCGTAGCTAGGGTTAGTGCCATCTGTGGGACAGTCATCAGTGCCGTAGTCAGGGTTAGTGCCATCAGGGGGACTGCTGTCATCAGTGCCGTATTTAGGGTTATTACCATCCGGGGGACTGCTGTCGTCAGTGGCGTAGCCAGGATTAGTGCCATCCGTGGGATTGTTTTCAGTTTTGTAGTTAGGGTTAGTGCCATCAGGGGGACTGCTGTCATCAGTTGCGTAGTTAGGGTTAGTGCCATCCGGGGGACTGCTGTCATCAGTGGCGTAGTTAGGGTTAGTGCCATCAGGGGGACTGCTGTCATCAGTGTCGTAGTTAGGGTTAGTGCCATCAGGGGGACTGCTGTCATCAGTGGCGTAACCAGGGTTAGTGCCATCCGGGGGACTGCTGTCATCAGTGGCGTAGCCAGGGTTAGTGCCATCAGCGGGACTGCTGTCATCAGTGGCGTAGTTAGGGTTAGTGCCATCCGGGGGATTGCTGTCATCAGTGGCGTAGCCAGGGTTAGTGCCATAAGGGAGACTGTCTTCGATGAAAAAAAAAATCCTCTACATTTTCCCGAAGGGCCGCTCCTGCATGTAAAGAACAAACTGCCACCCGGTGCCTCCGCCACACCCACCCCTCTAGCCTCCCCTACTCCCGTGTTTATTGTGGTCAATCTGTCTATAGAAAACTATGCTTTAACCCTAGACTATCCCACAAGTTTTTTTTAAATAGCTTAAGAAGCATTATTGTGTGTTCCGTTTTTTAACTCGACATAACGCGTCTCTCTAATCTCAAGTCATCCTTTAAAAAACAACAAAACAATGGAGAAAAAAAATAATTGGCCGTGGAACTAGATTCGCGTCTGCCATGACGTCCCACCTCTTCATTCATTGGTTGCCCATTCAAGGTCTGTTGCACCCAGGTACCACCGGTAACAGATCCACTTCAATTAAGTGGTAAACCAAGTAGCAGAGATGTGCTACAATTAGCCATTATTTGAGCAGAACAAAAAAAAAAAAAAAAAAAAAAAAAAAAAAAAGATTTGTTTACGGCCTGACATCTAGAAATTCGCGAGCGAGGTTTTTATTTTAAAACAAACTTTTGCAATTAGGTACACATGAAATAACAGGCGTAGTGTTTCTGGTGATTTTGAACGGTTCTTGTCACGTAAACGGGTTAGTTTGTCTACAATAAGATGTGACATAATCAAATCAATTGTAGGACAACATGGTCTTATCAATTGTAGTATAATATGATCGAATCAATTGTTGTATAATGTGATCTAATCAATTGTAGCATAATCTAATAGAATCAATTGTAGTATAATTTGATCTAATCAATCGTAGTATACGTGTTCTAACCAATTGTAGTATGAATGATCTAATCAATTGTATTATAAATAATTCGAATCAGTTGTAGTAAAATATGATCTAATCAATTGTAGTAAAAATGATCGGATCAAAGTTAGCAAAATTGTTTTAATCAATTTATTGTAATATAAAATAATGTAATCAAATGTAGTGTTTAAGAAAAAGATTACCATCAAATAGTGTTCAAAATACATGTTTCAGGATCATAAGCGCATTAGCCCTTACTGGGTGACAGTCACAATGATGGGACTCGTGATGGGACTCGTGATGGGGCTCGTGATGGGACTCGTGATGGAACTCGTGATGGGACTCGTGATGGGACTCGTGATGGGACTCGTGATGGGACTCGTGATGGGACTCGTGATGGGTCTCGCGATGGGACTCGTGATGGGACTCGTGATGGAACTCGTGATGGGACTCGTGATGGGACTCGTGATGGGACTCGTGATGGGACTCGGGATGGGACTCGTGATGGGACTCGTGATGGGACTCGTGATGGGACTCGTGATGGGACTCGTGATGGGACTCGTTATGGGACTCGGGATGGGACTCGTCCTACCCGCTATTTGTTCGTTGGCTTACTTTCCGCAGTTTTCCCTTGTAACATTTGAATCGCTTGAGCCAGCCAAAAGTACGCCTGCGACTTGGTTTTTGCTATTGTCATACGGTTGTCAAAGAGAAATCGCCGAAATGTTGAATGCTCTCTTGGACCTACGCTGTCCGAGAGAAGGCGTAATGTAAACAAAAACAAAACAAAAGTGTTTCTATCGTATCAGTGCTAAGTGCAGCAGACGTAGAATGTGAATGAGAAACAAATGAAATTCCAATAGCTCCATATTTAACTTAGGACCACGTGACAAATAACTTGGTTTCGGAATGCGGCAATTCTCCGATGTAGATCCGGAATCTTAAATAATGGAATGGCAGACCACGACTTTAGACCACGACTTTAGACCACGACTTTAGACCACGACTTTAGACCACGACTTTAGACCACGACTTTAGACCACGACTTTTTTGAAAGGGATCGGGGGAGAAACATAATAATTTGATTTTGAAGTTTAATCATTGTAAGCACACTCGCAAAAAAAAAAATGCAGACAAGTTATTGCGAACACTCACCTTTCACGCTTTCTTGGTGGCCAACACTTGAATGATCTCTTTATAGTCAAGGGTGGCAACTATGCCTCTTTGAAACACGTCTTCATAGTCAATGCTGGTAGCTACGTCTCCTTGAATGACATCTTTATAGTCAAGGCTGGTAGCTTTGTCTCATTGAATGACATCTTTATAGTCAAGGCTGGTAGCTACGTCTCCTTGAATGACATCTTTATAGTCAAGGCTGGTAGCTTTGTCTCATTGAATGACATCTTTATAGTCAAGGCTGGTAGCTACGTCTCCTTGAATGACCTCTTAATTGTCAAGGCTGGTAGCTACGCCTCCTTGAATGACCTCTTCATTGTCAAGGCTGTTATATGTCTCCTTGAATGACCTCTTCATTGTCAAGGCTGTTATATGTCTCCTTGAATGACCTCTTCATTGTCAAGGCGGATAGCTACGTAGCTACCGGTCGAAACTGAAACACTGATGATCTCAAGTAAATTGTTGTCAACTTGAATTTTGAGAAAACTTCTTTTTGAACTTGACACGGCTGCCAGCAATGTTAACATTATTCTGTACGGGGATCGCATCGCTTGGACACGAATCTCTGCCCGTGGCATAATGATTTGATGACACTGCAAGGATTTTTTTTTCCCTCCTGGCATCATTTCTAACAGGATCTTGAGTTCTTCCAGTATGTCCGAACCATCGACTCCCGTGAATCACCACCTCTTAACGCCATGTCCGACTCCGCACAGTGTTTGATCAACTTATCCAGAGTCAGGGTAGGGAGCAGCTGTATACCATAGAGAAAAGCGTTCCCCAAACGGTCTTCCGTGGACCGGCACTGGCCCGCGAGCTTTGCGTCGCCGGTCCGCTCAACCTAAATATTTTTATGGTCAAATAAAATAGAAAAATATAATTAATAAAGCCGACGCCGGTCCCTGGTGTGATTTCCAAACTTTTACGCCGGTCCGCGAAACATTTCCACCAGTCCGCCAAACTTTTCCACTGGTCCGCAAAACTTTTCCACCGGTCCGCCAAACTCTTCCACCGTTCCGCCAAAATTTTCCACCGATCCACTAAGCTTTTCCACCTGTCCACCAAACTTTTCCACCGGTCTGCCAAACTTTTCCACCAGTCTGCAAAACTTTTCCACCGGTCCACCAAACTTTTCCACCGGTCCGCCAAACTTTTCCCACCGGTCCACCTAACTCTTCTACAATCCCACCAAACTTTTCCACCGCCCTCCAAACTTTTCCACCGGCCCGCCAAGCTCAAAAATTAGTTAAACCCTGAAATAGAAGACCAACAAATGTCCACGTTATAGCGTCAGTTGTTGAAAACGTCTCTTCAAACTGCAAGGACCCCAACGCCTGGTCTACTAAACACAAGAAATATTCCATCTTGAAAGATTCTGAGGGAATAAATTATTAATTGTGTCTCGTCTCTAGGTTCATTTTTAAAACTCCCTCTTTCGGCGTCCATCAAACACACTTTCGATCCTGATGCAAAGTCATTTTCACTGCCCACCGCTGATGGAAATCCTTCTTCTGTGTACATAGGGAAACAAAAAAACTAACAAACGGATTACACCTTTGAATCTGTGCAATGTTAAAATCAATTTGCATAGTTGAGGCCTTAACGCGTCTGTCATTGGAGAGACTAGAAAAAGAACCATACAGACTGATGATTATTTGATCACCTTGTACCTGCTAGTATTGTATTGACTAGATTTGACTAATCATGAGTACGCATAGGCCAGGTTATGTTAAAAATAAAAATAAAATATTACATCATAAGAGCTACACACCTGACCCCCACAAGCGCGGGGTCTTTGTCGGTCGCCCCGTTTGTCCCCCCATAATGCCGGTCCTGAATGTTCCTAGACATGGATACACGAATGTGTATTGACCAGATGAACGTCGACGTCATTAACGGCGTGACTGGCAGCTATATCTAGGTCAAAACGTGAAAATTTCCGATCAGCGATCAGTTGTGCCACGAAGGTAAGTGAACTGAACACGTGCTGCCATAACTGTTGTTGTGTGACAATGTATTGTTTCTTTAAATTGTTTTATACTGTTACGCTAACTAGTGGTGTTAAAACATTTAACGCTTTTAACAACGCCAACCCTCCATTGAGCGGCGGAGATGCAATTTATTCAAGGACAATTCACAATCTGATAAGAACTATAAGAACTATAAGAACTACCGATTCTCAATTTTATTTCACATCATATTTATAAATAATATTGCATACACAGGGCAGTGCGAAGGGGGCTGGGGGGGGGGAGGGGCACTCGCCGCGGGCGCCAACATCAGAGGAGGGGGGGCAAGATAATCGTCTTTAGACAGAACCTTAATAGTGAATTAGACGATAAAATCCCCTGTAATTCCCAAAGAAAAGGGGCGCCAAGATCGCCTTTGTACTTGTATGCCCCGTGGTGGAGCTTTTGTTTCTGTATCTTGATGGGTGTCATTTTCATATTTCACCCCGGGTGCCTCTTTTTCTCGGCTAGGCGCTGAGCACATTGTCTTCATTCTTTATCGTGCGAACGAATTTGAGGATCAAATTAATACTTTGTTTACATCTAAGAAACAGTAGACCTAACTGGACAGAGGTAAGAACGTATACTTTATTTTTAACATCGTTAAAGTCTCAACGAAAAAAATCTATGTTATCTTGCAATTTGTAATGTGATGCCTGTAAAGTAGCTTGAAATAACAAACTCAGTGAACTTTAGGCAACTGACGGAGAAGAATAAACGAAGACGCCTTAGGCTTAAGCACAGTTGTGGGGACCCACTTGTCTTATATAATATACGATATATATATAACCAAGCTCAAGTGTTTCGGAGATTCAAAAAAATAAATAAATATTCACCATCGATTATGTCAAGTGTGTGCAATGTTTTTGAGTAAATGCTGCAAATTACCGTATATATCCGATTAATAGAGACCAAAGTATCGCTATAGAAATTCAAGAGATAACAGTGTATGGACAAAATCTTTGATGATAAAACAAAACAACTCCGAAAAGGAATAACGATGAGGAGTTAATGATGGCTTCTGTTGCAATTTCAAAACAGGACACTTAACAAAACACAGGATGATCTAGAAGATTAGATATTCTAAAAATGACACTGAAGCCCACAGGATGATCTAGAAGATTAGATATTCTAAAAATGACACTGAAGCCCACAGGATGATCTAGAAGATTAGATATTCTAAAAATGACACTGAAGCCCACAGGATGATCTAGAAGATTAGATATTCTAAAAATGACACTGAAGCCCACAGGATGATCTAGAAGATTAGATATTCTAAAAATGACACTGAAGCCCACAGGATGATCTAGAAGATTAGAGATTCTAAAAATGACACTGAAGCCCACAGGATGATCTAGAAGATTAGATATTCTAAAAATAACACTGAAGCCCACAGGATGATCTAGAAGATTAGATATTCTAAAAATGACACTGAAGCCCACAGGATGATCTAGAAGATTAGATATTCTAAAAATGACACTGAAGCCCACAGGATGATCTAGAAGATTAGATATTCTAAAAATGACAATGAAGCCCACAGGATGATCTAGAAGATTAGATATTCTAAAAATGACACTGAAGCCCACAGGATGATTTAGAAGATTAGATATTCTAAAAATGACACTGAAGCCCACAGGATGATCTAGAAGATTAGATATTCTAAAAATGACACTGAAGCCCACAGGATGATCTAGAAGATTAGATATTCTAAAAATGACACTGAAGCCCACAGGATGATCTAGAAGATTAGATATTCTAAAAATGACACTGAAGCCCACAGGATGATCTAGAAGATTAGATATTCTAAAAATGACACTGAAGCCCACAGGATGATCTAGAAGATTAGATATTCTAAAAATGACACTGAAGCCCACAGGATGATCTAGAAGATTAGATATTCTAAAAATGACACTGAAGCCCACAGGATGATCTAGAAGATTAGATATTCTAAAAATGACACTGAAGCCCACAGGATGATCTAGAAGATTAGATATTCTAAAAATGACACTGAAGCCCACAGGATGATCTAGAAGATTAGATATTCTAAAAATGACACTGAAGCCCACAGGATGATCTAGAAGATTAGATATTCTAAAAATGACACTGAAGCCCACAGGATGATCTAGAAGATTAGATATTCTAAAAATGACACTGAAGCCCACAGGATGATCTAGAAGATTAGATATTCTAAAAATGACACTGAAGCCCACAGGATGATCTAGAAGATTAGATATTCTAAAAATGACACTGAAGCCCACAGGATGATCTAGAAGATTAGATATTCTAAAAATGACACTGAAGCCCACAGGATGATCTAGAAGATTAGATATTCTAAAAATGACACTGAAGCCCACAGGATGATCTAGAAGATTAGATATTCTAAAAATGACACTGAAGCCCACAGGATGATCTAGAAGATTAGATATTCTAAAAATGACACTGAAGCCCACAGGATGATCTAGAAGATTAGATATTCTAAAAATGACACTGAAGCCCACAGGATGATCTAGAAGATTAGATATTCTAAAAATGACACTGAAGCCCACAGGATGATCTAGAACAGTTAGATATTCCAAAAATGTGGGGGGCCAGTTAATATTAATATTGTACTTCACAACCACGCTGTGGTTAGTGTAAGAAAACATGGCATATGCAGTCTAAGTCACGTGTAAGAGAGAGAGACGCAAAATAGTGCTCAACTAAGTCACGTTTAAGTGTGTCTGTACTTCTGCAGAGAAGGATGTATAGACTCCAAACAATATTTTGTTAATAAAAGAAAACAACGAATTTCAATCTCAAACAAACTTTTTAAAAAAGAACATTTTCTATTGATTTAAGTTAAAATGTGGAAGAAAAAAATGTATTAATTTGGAAAAGCATTATTGGAATTAAGTTAAAACTGTGACTTTTTTATTTGTCTTCTTCCATAGTGTCCATAATGATAGAAAGACGACCAAATCAGTTTGTCATTGTCTCGTGTTTGAGTTTATGTGTTTGCAAAATCCTGGCAACCAAAGTGCCCAGCGTCAAATACACCAGACACAACGGCTGCTACTCTCCCATCGACCAAACGCTCGTGCTTACAAAGTGTATGGAGATTCGTCAGGCCCGGAGCTTCCTCGAGTGTATATCACTGTGTAGCTCTCACAGCTGGTGTGCTGGGACAGCGAAGCACCCGGACGACAACTGTCGCTTCTATTACCCATGCCAGTACCTGAGATTTGGCATAAACTGTAAGGCCACGGACACCAGCGCCGTCAGCGTCTACACGAAACCAGGGTTCGAGAGCGTGACCTGCGGCCCGCGCGGTGTTTACAACTACACTTCCGGCACGTGCGACTGCCCGCTGGGATGGACAGGTCTGTTTTGTGACGTGGCTCCGGCCGACTGCGGCTTTCTCCTGGCCGGGCGGTACCCGGCGGGACGGTACCTCGTGGAGGTGAGGCTGTCGAGGCTGGTCAACGTGACGTGCGAGGTGACCAGCGGCTCCTGTAGACTGCTGCTGGCCAGCAACAGCGGTCGGTCGAACCACAACAAGACGTGGGCAGAGTACGTCGCGGGCTACGCCATCGACGGGAACAACTTTTTCCTAGGTCTTGACAGCATCCACACGCTCACGGCATCCGGAAGTAGAGGGCTGAAAATCGACGCCGTCTTTGACGAAGCCAGCAACACATTCCTGACCTGGACGTACGCTGGGGTGGCCGTTTCGGGCCCACTTTCTAGGTACGCGATAACGTACACTTCAGCCTCGTGCCAGGGGTCAAGCCAGAGTTTTTGCAGCTCGAGCCTACCCAAGTGCATCGTGCCGATGATGGTGTTCTCAACCTACGACGTCGCTTTGAACCTCCTGAGTGTCGTGACCGGCCCCGCTGTCCAAGCGGTGGCGGGTTGGTGGTTCGATGCCACCCCGGTTTTCAGTTTCAGTTTATATAAGCCAACCGAGAAATGCAACCCGCTTGGTAGACTTGCCAGCACACTGCCGTCCACCGTGACGGATGGGAGGTTGATACTCCCTGGGCTGGACATGGTGTCTGGGAGTTATGTCAGTTCATTTCAATACGTCGTCATATACTTTACCAGCTAGGTGTCATATAGTTGCCAACGAGATGTCATACACTTTACCAACTAGATGTAAATATTTACAAGCCATATGTCATATACTTTACCAACTAGATGCCCTTTCTTTACCAACTAGATGTCATATAATTACCATCTAGATGTCATATAATTACCAACTAGATGTCATTTTCTTTACCAACTAGATACCATTTTATATTTACCAGCCACATGCGATATACTTTACAAGTTGGATCTCATATATTCTCTACCAACTAGATGTCATATACTTACAGCTAGATATCATATACTTACCAACTAGAAGTCATTTAATTACCAGCTAGATGTCATATACTTACCAACTAGGTGCCATTTACTTAACAGCTCAATGTCATATACTACCAATTAGATGTCATATACTTTACGAGCTGGGTGTCATAGACTTCACCTTATGTAGCCACTAGACAGCTCCGCTCATCCAATAGTGGCAAAATATCGATACCGTGTGTTCGCCTTGAGACTTACGGAAAACGCACGTTTGCATTTGCCGGCCCAACAATTTGGAACGCCCTTCCAGCCGCTCTCAGAAACAGCCAGACACTGGAGTCCTTTAAAACCGATTTAAAAACACATCTATTTCGCAAACACCTTCTGGGGTGATGTTATCTACCATCTTTTTCAGTTAATGTATATTGGCTTGTGTTGCTTATGGTTGAAATGGGATGAAAGACTTTGACTTGGTGTGTTCGTATGTAGTTTTATAGTGTTGCGTCTGTTTTTTAAATGTGGTAAATTTTAGATTGTTTTTTTATTTCTCTTTTTAATATGGTTAACTTTGTACCGCGCTTCGAGCTTTTGGGGATGAAGCGTATTTTTAAAATAAACTTTATTATTATTATTATTTTTATTAACTTACCAGCTATAGGTCATATACTTACCAACTAGATGTCATTTACTTATCAGCTAGATGTCGTTTACTTACCAGCTTGATGTTATTTACCCACCAACTAGATGTTATATACTTTACCAGCTATATGTCAGATTTCCTGATGGTAAAATGATACCCAAAAGGATAAGGCATCAATTAAAGTCAACTATCTCCCCTTACGTCCCAGCATGTGTTCATTAATAGTTAAGGCGTAAACTACAGACGAACACCTCTTGCTGGTGACATCAACCATTTAATTCCACCCGTTGCTGGTGACATCAACCATTCGATTCCACCCCCTGCTGGTGACATCAACTATTTGATTCCACCCCTTGCTGGTGACATGAACCATTGGATTCCACCTCTTGCTGGTGACATCAACCATTCGATTCCACCCCTTGCTGGTGACATCAATCATTTGATTCCACCTCTTGCTGGTGACATTAACATTTTGATTCCACCTCTTGCTGGTGACATCAACCATTGGATTCCATCTCTTACTGGTGACATCAACCATTCGATTCCACCTCTTGCTGGTGACATCAACCATTGGATTACACCCCTTGCTGGTGACATCAGCCATTAGATTCCACTTCTTGCTGGTGAAATCAACCATTTAATTCCACCCCTTGCTGGTCACATCAAGCATTCGATTCCACCCCTCGCTGGTGACATCAGCCATTAGATTCCACCTCTTGCTGGTGACATCAACCATTTAATTCCACCCCTTGCTGGTGACATCAACCATTCGATTCCACCCCTCGCTGGTGACATCAGCCATTCGATTCCACCCCTTTCTGGTGACATCAACTTGCTGGTGACATCAACCATTCGATTCCACCTCTGGCTTGTCACCAACTCCCATGTTTTTATACCAGCAGACTAAACAGATCAAGAATTGACGTCACACAGTTATATTTTAAAACCAGGCCTTTGTTAATGTTTTTTCTTTACAATCTCGTACACCTACCTGCAGCAGAAAAAAACAATTACAGCGATGTTTGTTCGACTTCCATCAAAGGTCATCCTTCTTCCTCCTAAATCTGCTAAAAACCCTAACTTAAACCTTATTTAACCCTGGTTTACCCTGGCTCAAACCTGACTTAACCCTAAATTAAACTAGATTGTTCTTAACTTAGAAACTTACGGCCAATCAAAATGGAAGCTGCTCTCATTGTTAAAAAAAAAAAAAAAAAANTTTTTTTTTGCTAACTTTATTGCAGTCTCGCCTCATTTTTACCATTTAAAAAATTAAAGGGGACATGAGCTTACAACTGTAAGTTTCTTGGTTACCGGAAATTTGATCGAAAGAAATTTCGTCGACGGTAAATTGATCGACGGAAATTTGATCGAACGGACATTTTTTTCAGTTCAGACGTTAAAAGTTTCGGCGAATTTCTTTTTCAACGCACTATACTTTATTGCTAAACAAAATTATGAGTTCAAAAAAAAAAAAAATTAAGCAAAAGTTTTAACGTAAAAACTGACAAAAGTTTCGACCAAATTTCCGTTTGATCAAATTACCGTCCTTCAATTTACCGTCGACGAAATTTCTTTCGATCAAATTTCCGGATACGAAGTTTCTTTTAATACATGTATATTGATTACCTCCCCTAAAAGGCACAAGAAAATTAACGTGTAAGGAAATAAGCCGAATAAAAAAAAACTAATAATAAAATAAAACCCTCTTTGATGTACGACTACACGACCAGTGATTTACACGACAAATATAATTATTGATAACTCAAGGAGGGGCGAGCACTCAATCTACCTCTATCGAATCATTGAGTAACGCACCTTGTTTCAGTAGGCGCCATTCATGGATTGTATCCAGCAACGGGGTTGACTGGTGGAAACATCTTTGTCCGAGAATAGTATCATATTGCGTCAGTGCCCACCATCGAGCCGTTACCCAAGACTCCGAGTTGCGAATGACTCCGGATGTGCGCCGAGTCCACAAAAGGCCAACCGTAACTTCACGGAATCAATTTTCAAATCGTTCCGTCTTGACTTTGTTTGGTGAGGGTCACGAGCAATAATTGATTTCTGCATTGATTGAGTTACTGGTGTTGAGGGTGATAAAGGTATTAAAGATATCGTTATTGTTAAATATTAGACTAGTTGATGAACACAAACAAACTCTATTGGGACTCAATCCTTGCAATTGCTGTTTACAGCAGATTAAACAGCTTATTAAAACAATTTTTTTTTTTTTCAGAAATATGATTCATGTACACAGTTTTTAGTTCCCCCTTGGGGCGTGGGAACGTGTGTCGGATGGGGTGGTCCAACCCTGGCAGCACTGACTTTGGGACGGCATGTCCCTCCCCACTTTTCAATAGTTTTTTAAAACTTAATTTGGTATGTGTATTCTGCATGCTGGAGTCTTTCTTCAATTCTTCTTCTTCTCATTTGTTTTGTTACCCCGTCTGGGGCATAGGCCGTCCAAAAAGAATTTTCCATTCATCACGGTCCTGTGCTTTTCTTTCCAGTTGCTTCCAGATGTATCCCATACTTTGCGTATCTGCCCCTAGCTCCCGTCTCTATGTTATTCTTAGGCCTTCCTCTCTTTCTTTTTCCCTCTGGATTCCATGTTAGTGATTGTCTGGTGATGCTATTTGGGTTTTTTCGGAGAGTATGCCATATCCACCTCCATCTTTTCTTGATGATGTTTTCATCAATTGGGCAACTGGTGAGTCCTTTCTAGTAGATCTTTGTTGGAGATTGTAATTGGCCATTTGATGTTCAGGATCTTTCTAAGGCATGTATTAATGACGGTCTGTACTTTCTGCGTAATGCTCGCTGTTGTTTTCCACGTTTCTGCTCCATACAGTAGGACTTTCTTGAAATTTGTGTTAAAGATTCTAACTTTGGTTTGCAGTTTCAGCTACTTCGACTCCCATATTTTCTTTAATAGCACAAATGCTGATCTAGTTTTTTGAAAATTCAAAGGCCGTCTATATCATCACAAGCTCTATCTTATCTAATTCACTGTGTGCACCCATCCGCCCAAAGAGAAGTTCACGGACACTTTTAAGCAGCCTAAGCCATTCGCTAGGACACACTATAATATATAGTTGGCATTACTTACTTTCTTATGCATTTTTTACCCTCCTGGGGCAAGGCAGTATACATGAATTTCCATTCATCTCGGTCATATGCTTTCCTTTCCAGTTGCTTCCATGTTTAGCCCATACTTTGTGTGTCTGCCTCTATCTCGCGTCTCCATGAAATTCTTAAGCCTTCCTCTCTTTTCCCCCGTGGATTTCTTTCAGGGACTGTCCGGTGATGTTATATGTATGTTTGCGGAGAGTGCACCCTATCCCCATCCATCTTTAATCGCCTTTGAACGGAGGGTCATGGGCCTTGAGGCTTCCAGTGTAACCTTGCTTTGGCCCTAAGACTTCATAACTTTCTTGGAGAAGAAAATCCCTCTCTTATAGGGGCTGCATTTTTTTAATATTTTTTTTTTGACGTTTCTGTAGCAGTTTGCTTTTTACGGGTGAGGTGGATGGCCTCACACCAATCCCCCCCCCCTCCTTTTTTTTGCACCTGGCTTGGGACCAGTCATGCGGAGTTATCGTTGGAATTGCTACTGTATAAAGACGAATCTCTCACGTTCACATGTAGCTTCTTCTGTCATCACTTGACCAAATGTAGATATATACGTCTCCCTTGACCAAATGTAGACTCATGTCATCTTGACCACATGTAGATGAATTCGTCAAATTGTAAGCGTTCAAATTTCTTTGGGGGCTGACCTAGTCATTCTTTATGACTCCCCATTAATTTGTCCCCTACTTGTATCAGCTGGACAATGCCATAAATCATCTGCCTACATAATATGGGGGCCCTTCTACCCCCCCCCCCTGCTCCTCTCTGTTCCAACGCAGAGCACTCGGTCCAACTTTGGC